TATATATATATATTCAATTGTACAAATAAAACAAATAAGATCTTTGGTATAAATTATACTAAAAATAACAAATACTATATATGTATTAAAAGGCTAATACTAATCTGGTAAAAAAATCTACTGCTAGATTTATTCATAAGTTATGACTATCAACTTTTGAATAAAGGTTGAGACCTCTTTAGTTTTGATTGGTCAACTTTTTCTTTTTCTTTTTTTTTTCTTCTCAGCCAATCCCCAACCTCTATGTGTGTGAAGGGTTGTGGGGATGAATATTTTAAAGGGGTCTAAATCAATGGCCATCAACTTTTAGACTTAGATACCCTCTTGTCATTTTAAAGCTGCAACATTCAATTTCATTTAAGCGACAGGTAACCTAAAATTAATGCTAGTGTTGTTAAAAGTAGATGTATATACATATAAATATAACTATAAATGTTGTGTATGCATATATGTGTGCAAAAATTGAATAACAAATGATGTGATCAAATAAAACCACATCATTTGATAGAGTATTTTCCACGAATTTGTGTAAGAACAAAATTTTTTATTCAATTTATTTATTTTTATGCCATGTTTATATATATAGTTAAATTTAAAACAAAATAAGATTTTTTTTCCTCTTCAAAAATCGGGTGACAAATCAAGGATTAACACACAATTTTAAGTTAAGTTTGACTGACAAAAATCTTGAGATTTAATGATATGTGATTTTCGATTTTCATGTTTCCAAACGATTAGGACGAATTGAAATACAAAATTATTAGGATTATCAATTTTAACAAGAATTACATGGTCAAACAAAATCAGAATTTGATTTCGCCACTTTTTCACGAGAATATCACATTTCTAAAACAATGTTAATTATTAAAGAATAAATAATAATAATAATTAGACATATAATATTAAAATATATTTACTTAAACATAATTAATTGCTCTTAAATATTCTATTGACACTCCCAGATATTCTCATATGCTAGTAGTTTTAGAAAAATGCTTGGGAGCACTAATTAGTGCTCCCACTAATTAGGTGGCAGTGGGTCCCGCCATGAATGATGTGATGTTTTGGTCTTGGAGTTGTAATTTTTTTTATTTTTTTAATGCATTAGTGCTATTAGTGGTGATGTTTTTAGTGGGATGAATCATTGTTGAGTAGTTTTATTCTTGTACTTAAAATTCATCCTCCCATGTCTACATCAATAAACTACATTGAAAGGTGGGACTAGTTCAAATTACTAGTATTATATATATTTCTTCATTTCATATACTAATATACCCATGAGGAAATTGGACAAAAAATATTTATGGACAATTACAATTTTTTTTTATTATGATATTTGAGTTTTTGTAATAAAATAAATCTTCAAATTTTAAATTTACAAATTTAAATGCTAATCTCTTAATTTATTTTTAATCCCAGTCATTCGTCTATTTTTATGAAGTAAAATCGATAAAAAAAATATTTTAATTATTAAACTCAATGTAGTAATATATAAAATCTCATTTTTATTAGTATTATTTTTTCTGTTGATTTTATTTGACAAAATAGACAAATAGTTTAAATTGAAAATAAATTAAAAATTAAAAATTTACGATTTATTTTATTTTAAAGGTCAAATCTTAGGATTTTTTTTAGGGGATTTTTTTTTAAGGTCCCTAATAATAACAATTTAGAGGATAAAGGACACACAAAAAGATAGTGATGCCTCACGTCCCTGAAACAACTTGGCGCGCGTTTTTAATTATTTTGTGGACCAAAATACCCTCGCCAAAATCAACACAGAACCAAACTCATTCCGACGTCTCAGTTACATTCCAAACATCCAGCATCTTCACGAACAGGAGACCAGCAGAATTAGGGTTTGAACATCATCTGCACCATCGACATTACAGCTTCGTTATCCTCTCCAAAAATCATTCCCATTCCTTCCTCACAAATTTCTCTGACCTACGTTAAAGCTTCGTTTTCACGGCTTATCATCATCTCAGTCCATCTTTGTCACGTCGCATCTTCATCGCGGACCATATCAGCTCATCATTTAAGTTTCATCCTAACTCTGGTCAGTTTTTCTACAATACAACTAGATTTTCTCTGGAAACACAGTTAATAGCATTTTATAATAATCTTTCATAAATTAGGGTTTCAATTTCGTAATAAAAAGCTACCTGCATTTGAAAAAATTTATTTCTATGTATTTTGAACTTATTCTTCAACATGTTTGTTTGATTTTATCTATAAATTTCTCTGACATTTGAATTTCTCTAATTTTTGATTAATGTAATTTTGTTCTTTCAATTTTCTCTGCTTTGTAAATTTCTCTGGAATATGTATCCTTCTCTACAAAATTTCTCTGACCTAGGTTAAAGCTTCGTTTTCACGGCTCATCATCATCTCAGTCCATCTTCGTCACGTCGCATCTTCATCGCGGGCCATATCAGCTCATCATTCAAGTTTCATCCTAACTCTGGTCAGTTTTTCTACAATACAACTAGATTTTCTCTGGAAACACAGTTAATAGCATTTTATAATAACCTTTCATAAATTAGGGTTTCAATTTCGTAATAAAAAGCTACCTACATTTGAAAAAATTTATTTCTGTGTATTTTGAACTTATTCTTCAACATGTTTGTTTGATTTTATCTGTAAATTTCTCTGGCATTTGAATTTCTCTGATTTTTGATTAATGTAATTTCCTTCTTTCAATTTTCTCTGGCAAGTTTATTTTCACAACAATTTTTTGTGTTTTTATCTTATTCTTGAACATGTTTCTGTGTATTTTGAACATATTCTTCAACATGTTTGTTTGATTTTATCTGTAAATTTCTCTGGCATTTGAATTTCTCTGATTTTTGATTAATGTAATTTTGTTCTTTCAATTTTCTCTGCTTTGTAAATTTCTCTGGAATATGTATCCTTCTCTGCAATGTCAATTACACTCTTGCCTCTGTCTTAAGTTTCTCTGGTATTTATAATTTTCTCTGGAATGAATGTTTCTTCTTGGAATTTTCTCTGCCATATGTACTTTGAGAAAAAGTTATTTCTCTGAATTTTGATCTTATTCTTGAATATGTTTCTCTCATTTTGTCTCTGAATTTCTCTGCTTTGTAAATTTCTCTGGAATATGTATCCTTCTCTGGAATATGTATCCTTCTCTGCTTTGTAAATTCCTCCCTTGTGTCTTTGTCATTTTAAATTTTCTCTGGAATTTTAATATTGTGGACTGGAATGAATGTTTCTTCTTGGAATTTTCTCTGCCATATGTACTTTGAGAAAAAGTTATTTCTCTGAATTTTGATCTTATTCTTGAACATGTTTCTGTGATTTTGTCTATGAATTTCTCTGCTTTGTAAATTTCTCTGGAATATATATTTTTCTCTGCAATGTCTATTACTCTCTTACCCCTGTCTAAGTTTCTCTGGTATTTATAATTTTCTCTGACCACATCACACCACTTTTCTCCCTTGAGTGTCTCTATCATGGTTAATTTTCTCTAGTTGTGTATGTAAATTTCTCTTGCATTTTAATATTATGAATTGAAATTATCTCTGGAATGGAAATTTCCTCAAGAATGTGTAATTTTCTCCGGAATGTGTATTTTTCTCTAGTATGTTTATTTTGTTCAATTCTTGGTTTCAATATGGTGTAATTCTCAGTGGCATGTTTACATTACTTTGTTTATTTTATCTTGCTAATTGTGGAATGGAAATTTTCTTTCGCTTGCCATGTTTACTTTTTTCTATCATTCATTTTCTTTGGTATGTTTACTTCTATATGTAATTTTAACAATTATTGAAAATTTCTCTCCCATGTTTATAATGATGTGCTGATTTTCTCTGACATTTAATTTTTAATGTCCAATTTTCTCTGGCAGGTCAAATTTTCTCTGGTATGTCAAATTTTCTTCTAGCATGTCCAATTTTCTGTAATTTTTTCTTATCTGTAATTTTCTCTGGCATCTCCAATTTTCTCTTTTCTGTAATTTTCTCCCTTATCTGTAATTTTCTCTAACACGTCCAATTTTCTCTGGAATTTAATGTTGACATCTTTATGTTTTATAATGTTGACATCTCTATGCTTTAATCATTGTCTAGAAATGGCAAAACATAAAGGCAGCGAAACACCGGAAACACCAAGCAAAAAACAGAAACTGTCTCAGTCTTCTTATGGACTAGGATCAAAAACCAGCAGCAAAGCACTAGAAACACCAAGGAAGCAAGAACAACTCTCTCAGTCCTCTTATCATCTAAGATCAAAAACCAGCACTAAAACACCACAAACTCCTTCCCAAAACACACAAGTCCAAGCTGATGAAGCAACTAGCACCCAGATGAGTACCCCAACTTCAAAAGACTCAAGCTCAAGGGGGAAAAAACCTGTTAAACTCCACAGAAAGAGAGCTCACTACAGCATTCAATTCCGATCCAACCTCTCATCTGTTGTCTCCTTCTTTCAAACACTTAAATTCAGTTCAAAACATCTTCTAGAGCTTCAAAAGACCCCATTCTGATATTTGATTCAAGCTCTAGCCACTGGAAGGATGGATCCAAAGAAATCTAGGAAATCCGATGATGATGTAGTTGCCATAATCCAATGTTACAATGAAAAAACAAAAGCATTTACAGTTGGGAAGAAGAACCTGACCTTTACAACAAATGACATGACCTTGATTTTTGGTTTGGAAGGAGGTAAAGGAGCCATGTCATTAAGATACTCTAAAAAGCCAAAATCTGCATTCCTCAGGAGAAGATTCCAAAAGGACACAAGGCTCACTGGTCCTGTTCTTAAAAATGCCTTGGTCAAAGCAATGAAAGGCAAGCAACCAACTGACTTCAAAGATGTAGCAATCATTGTTACATTGTACTTGTGTCTCACCCTATTTTATGCAACAAGTGGGAATTCAATAGGTTGGGTTTTTATAAAGTATGTGGAACCTCTGGAATCAATGAAACAGTATGATTGGCCGGAAGCAATCACATCAACATTGATTGATTGATTCTATCATGGCATTGCATAGAACTCCAGAAAAAGTTACGGGGTGTGTCATTGCATTGCTGGTAAGTATAATAGCCATTCAAATTTGCAGTTATCATACTTACAAATTTGTGCGTTTACAAAATTTTATTTACTTTCATTTTCATCACAGTATTGGCTATGTGAACATGCAACTATCATTGACTCAGAAGACAGTAACACAACAGACTTCCTAAGATGTGCCAAGTGGAACCTTCAAACCTTGACGAAACAGCTGCAGAAGACACCAGTCCACTCTCTTGCACCTCAACAGGTTAGATTCCTATTGCTACCGAAATCTCAGTGAAATTTCAAAATTTCTCTGACCACTGCTTTGTTTCCCTCCTTGTGCATTGATTGATTAAGATTAATTTTCTCTGAAATATCAATTTCTGTTTTCTTCTTTGTTAACCACTGGTCTATTTCTGCCATTGTAATCAATTTTCTCTCCCATCCAAATTTCTCTGACCACAATTGTAACACATTAACTTATATGCCCTGATTCATTTTCTCTAATATCTGAATTATGTTCTTTGTCACATAATTTTCTCTGGCCCATCAAATTTTATCTCCTTGTGTGTAATTTTCTCTGCCCATAACTTGTGTGCCTTGCATCTTTGATTAACACTGTTTATTTCTACCCTTCTAATGAATTTTCACGGAATTCAAATTTCTCTGACACAAATATAGTAAAACATTAACTTATAAACACTGCTTATTTCACTGTTTCATAATTTTCTCTACCCCATAAAATTAACTCCATGTCTCTAATTTTCTCTGGCCCAATACAATTTTCTCTGAAGTTTGTTTCCAATTAGTATCATTTAGATGAATTTTATTTTCCTTATTTGAATTTTTTCTCTCAGTCAATTTTGTAACATTTCTCTAATAAAAGAGTCTCCTGTTACAGATTGATAACAAGCAGCTAGTCAAAAACCCATCTGAGGAGTTCTGTCTTGGCAAAAAGACGAAGAAAGAATTAAAAAAGGCAATTGTCATATTCAAGGAGACATTACAAGATCCATCTGAAGATGGAGGGAATGAACAAAAAGAAGAAGAAACCACCAAAGAAACCAGCAATGGACAAGAACATCAAGCAAGCAGCACAGAAGAAGAAACCACCAAAGAAAGTGAAGAAATAGAACCAGAAGACAAAGAACAAAATGAACAGAAAGAAAATGATGAAGAAAGTGATGAAGAAGAAAATAATGAGCAGATGGACCAACAACATGATGAAGAAAGTGATGAAGAAGAAAATAATGAGCAGATGGACCAACAACATGATGAAGAAAGTGATGAAGAAGAAAATAATGAGCAGATGGACCAACAACATGATGAAGAAAGTGATGAAGAAGAAAATAATGAGCAGATGGACCAACAACATGATGAAGAAAGTGATGAAGAAGAAAATAATGAGCAGATGGACCAACAACATGATGAAGAAAGTGATGAAGAAGAAAATAATGAGCAGATGGACCAACAACATGATGAAGAAAGTGATGAAGAAGAAAATAATGAGCAGATGGACCAACAACATGATGAAGAAAGTGATGAAGAAGAAAATAATGAGCAGATGGACCAACAACATGATGAAGAAAGTGATGAAGAAGAAAATAATGAGCAGATGGACCAACAACATGATGAAGAAAGTGATGAAGAAGAAAATAATGAGCAGATGGACCAACAACATGATGAAGAAAGTGATGAAGAAGAAAATAATGAGCAGATGGACCAACAACATGATGAAGAAAGTGATGAAGAAGAAAATAATGAGCAGATGGACCAACAACATGATGAAGAAAGTGATGAAGAAGAAAATAATGAGCAGATGGACCAACAACATGATGAAGAAAGTGATGAAGAAGAAAATAATGAGCAGATGGACCAACAACATGATGAAGAAAGTGATGAAGAAGAAAATAATGAGCAGATGGACCAACAACATGATGAAGAAAGTGATGAAGAAGAAAATAATGAGCAGATGGACCAACAACATGATGAAGAAAGTGATGAAGAAGAAAATAATGAGCAGATGGACCAACAACATGATGAAGAAAGTGATGAAGAAGAAAATAATGAGCAGATGGACCAACAACATGATGGCATTTGTGGCTCAACAATGCATCAGCCTGAAGAATTTGAGGAATCAAAGGATGCCCAAATTGCTGATCTACGTCAAAGACTGAAGACACTGTCTCAATCTAAAAAAGAAGAAGACAGAAATTGGATGGAATTACTTGCTGAAAAGGATATTTCAATAAGAATCCTGACATCACATAACTCAGAACTTCAAGAAAAAGAAAGCACAATCCGAATGAAACTAAGGATGTTGGAGGTTGAAAAAGCAGACGATGCAAAAACAATTCAACAGTTGAGGTGTTCAAATTCGGAGCTTGAAACTGAAAATGCCAAATTGCATGAACAAGTTCAAGAACTATCTGTCCAACTAGCAACACAACCATACCGAACACCAACACAACTTCAACCACAAGGTCAGTGTTGCGATAATCGAAGATGATGACTCTAGGGAGCTCCCTTTTTTATACTTAGCATAGACGAACTTGTGAGTAAGTATTAGAATTAAGCTTCATTTTGGTGCTTGAATGGATGAATTTGTGTATTTTTTTGAGGGGTTTAATTACCTTCACGCCATTATTCATATATCTAAAAGGCATGGATACAGACATGTGACAGGATATTGACACATCGACATGTAAATTTTTTTTAAAATGTAGATCATGACACAGTAGGGACGCCTGCAAAATATATAATTTATTTATTTATGATATGTTATATATATGAATAAATAATTATTATGCCATATATATAAATATTTAAGTCTAATATATTCATTTTTTAAGTATAAAGGAGGAGAATAAGTATAAATTTACTTAATTTTTGTTTTATTATTAAATTCCAAGTTATTTTATTCGAACTTGTAATATATTTTATGTGTCTAAGTATTAGAAAGAGTCTAGTGAATATCATGTCATGTCGGTGTTAGACATGACACGTTACCTTTTTAAAAGTGTCCATTCTTCTTAGATTGATACTCATTAAACTTTGTAGCTTTTTTTAAGGATGTATACACTCTAGACCTTAGAGTTGCATCTCTTTCATAGAAGATTTTGTCTGCTCACACCTTTTATGTTTATCTCATTGCAGAGAGCAAAAAATCTTGCAATAGTTCCTGAAGATGCAGATCATATTTGGTCAGTAGGACGTAAACCAGTTTATCCAAAGGGACAGTAATGAAACAGAGCATTGGCAGCATCATGAATGGAATCCAAAATCGCCTGGGAGATCCAAGGATTGGAAGTCTTGCTCCTGGGAGCATTGATGTCTTTTGGTAGTGAAAATCTTAAATCCTCCAACATTGTAATTTGTAATTAAGATTCAATTTTAATGACGAATAATAATTTCTAATCAAACAATCATAAATGTAATCGAATTAAATGAAAATTGAATTATATCTACTAACAAGTAATTATAAATCAATACAACGATATAACATTGAAAAAAAATCATAATTAGAGCACCTCCAATTGTAATTAAAAAACACTATAGGTTAAAAGTCATAAATCAATTCACTAAAAAAATAAAGAAAATATACACAAAAACTCTCAATTACCTAACGAATTTACACCTAAATTGTAAATTGAACTCAATTTGAGCAAAACATTTTATAACAAGCTTCAAGGGGTCAACAGGGAAAAAGGAGAAGACTTTTACAAAGTGCGACATATGCCTTCCATCAACATTTGGTAGATTTCTAATTTCTAACTAATCCTTTCCAAGGTAATTTTAGTTTTCAAAATGAGTTATTTTCTCCTCTTGTATTTGAGAGCTTTTAAATAAATATATTAAATTTCTTTATACACCTATACATACAAATATTTCTTCACGGTGTATAATATTTACAATGCATATAGTAGGCGTAAAAATAAGTAAATAAATAAATGGGATATTTAGAATCTATCATTGTATTTTAACAGACATATACCCCTCATTTTGAATTTAAAATAAATAAATAAAAATACATGGGAAGTCTTAAATAGCCTTGAAAAATAATTATATTATAAATATGTCTTGATGCTCCAACAAGGGTAAACACCATGTATGTACATGTATGTACATTATATCCTCAACGTTTTAATTATATTATCCTCTCTCTCTGTCTCTCTCTGTGTACATGTATGTACATTATTCCATATTTTGCATCTGTTTTATATCCTCATTGTTTTTTAATGGAAAATCAATGTCAAAAATTAACTTTTTTACTATGAACGTAAATGTCAACTTTCATTGTTTTTTCCCTCTCATCTTGTTTAGAGCATCTTATTGGTTGAGAGAGCTACTACGGTGATCATCACAAGGAGGTTTATCATCACAAATGAAACTATGGCCTCGTTTAAAAAATTAACTATTTTAGTAAGTTAAAATTTTCGTGTTTTGAAAGAGTAGGATTTTGTTTAGTCACATGTGATGTTTGTAAAAGAAAAAGTGAAATGACACTGCAGGAATTTTTGGCATTAGTGACGTTTAAAAAACGCCACTATAAGCCTTAGAAACGCCGTTAAAGGATACAGTGACGTTTATAATTTGCGTCGAGGATACGGCCGCCGTCTTAGGTATATGACATTTATTAAACGTCACTAATGACTTTAGCCAGCGCTTTTTAAAATGCCGTAAATTTCAAACATCCGTTATGTAGAAACCGTTATAGTTAAATGCTAACGTCATATGACGACATTTAGTGATGTTTTTAAGAAACGCCATCTTTTCGGTTACAGTTAAACACTGACATCATATGACGACATTTAATGACATTTTTTCAAAAACGCCATCTTTTCTCCTTATTTAAAAAAAAAATAACACTACTATTTATAGAAAGAAAAAATATAAATAAATTTCATTTGAACTCACTAAATCTGTAAAATAATGCTTCAAAAAAAAAAAAGAAAAAAAGCAAGAGTTTTATCCTCGTCTTGGAAAACCAAATAATGTGATAAAGATTGGCACATGTCAGAGACCATTTGCCTACGATGACTCCAAAATCCTGCATATGACAAGCATAACTCTGCATAGAGTACCTTCACCTAAACTATAGAATTGTTTGGGATTAAGTATACTTTTTGACTTTTTACAAAAAGATGTACAGAAAAATAAAAAGGTGATATGATCCAAATAAATGTACTTATCTAAGCAGGTGATAGAGAGTGTTTTGTATATTCTAGAATGTGCATGAGGTGTAATGTTCCCTTACTCATCATTTTTGTATGAACTTAAAGGATCAGTGGATTCCATGCAAAACCTTTGATTATCAAAAGATTTTTAATAGAGAGTGGACTACAATGAAGACCAAATCCAGCAGTCAGAACTCCATATAATAGAAAGTGGACTACCAAAAAAAAAAAAAAAAACTACTTATCAAACCAACGTCTAAAAGGTTGAAGCATCATTGAGTCAATTATGTTCCAAAAACCATGCCACAATAAAGCCTCACACAGATAAATACACAATGCTTACTTTGATTTGGTGGTTAATAAACCGAGAGAGCACAACTTTGAATGCCAAGTTCTATCAATTCTTCCTCCATTAGGACAAGATAATGTGGTATCCATTCCTGTATCATCGATAGCATAACAAATTTAGCCTGCCTGAGCAACATGAACAACATAAAATAAAGCTTAACATGTGGTCAGCAGGTTTGCGAAGCAAAAATCAGGAATTAAAATAGCATACGTTGATTTAAATGGCGCACTGGTAGCTCCAACAGTTGTGCTAAAGGCAACATCTTGAAATAGGCTATCCATCTTACTACGCAGAAACCATCCCAAGTCTCCACCCTTCTTCCCTGATGGACACTAAATATTCTGCTGCTAGTTGGAAGAAAAAGACAGAAAAGCAGCGTAGAGATGTCAGTGTTATGGCTCCTTCAAATATTCCTGAGACAATATCTCGGTCAAAAATTCTCTATAGGAGATTATGCAGAGAACACCCGAACCATTTTCTTGCGCTCTTTTTGTTTTAACGAAAAACATTTTCCAACGAAAAACATTTTGCGTCCTTAAAACTAATGTACTAACGGTTGTATTAGTGGTGGTAAGGAGGTGGTAACAGGGAGACGGTGGTGGTGGCAAGAGCAGGAGTGGTGATGTAGAGGAGGTTGTGGCGGTTGTGGTGGCAGTGCGGTGGTGGTGTTGCTGGTGGTAGTGTGATGGGATTGGTAAGACTTTAATTTGGAAAACGTTTTGCACTTTTTAAAAGTGCAACCATTTTCCGCCCAAATAGGTTTATTTTTACCATAGGACATGTTTTGTTGACTTTCATTTTCCATTGTACCAAAATACCAAAAAATAAGAAAAACATTTTCTCACCCAAACATTTTAGAAGGCTTGAAACCAATTAAGTAGCTAAGTGAAAATGATGAACCCATTAAATACCTAAATAAAAACCAAATAAATACAATTGTATCAGGTTCACCATCAAGATCATAAATCATTACAAAAATATGAAAGAGTAAAAAATGACCCCCTCCAAGTTCAAAACCAAAAATTGATACCGACAAAACCTTGACCAACAAGTGTAAAAGTTTTAAACTAAATGTGTTAAAAAATAATGAGAAAATGGATAATGTAATGGGGAAATCACCTCTGTAAACTCGGCAGGTGGAACCTTGTCTCCATTACTAAGCAAGCCATCTTTTCTAGCTTCTTGTATGCTTCATTAATCTACCCTTGCTTCTCACGTAAGATATACCTTGCTAAAAACAAAATCCAAAACCCAGAGTCAAATCAGGAGACTCAACATACTAGATAAATTGCAGTTAAAAAAACATAGAAGCTCCTGAAAAGCAGATTAAGGGGAAGAAACAACCTTTGACATATGTGCAGGTGCCAAGCCCATCTGTCTTCGCTCCTTTTCCTCTACTACCTTTTGAAGCAGTATCATCACTTCCTCCCGCTGCCTGTTTTCCCTTTCCCTTTCCTCCTGACTCCTTTGGCTTTGAGTCCTTACACATGACTCTTTAACCTTCTATACAAAACCACAATATGAAGACCTTAATGAACAAGGAGTGAGCACTGAAAGAGCTTAAAGTCAGTCACCACAAAACAACAATTGCTTAAAGGCCAGTAAATTAAGATAACCATTATCTCATACATAACAGATATGTCTAACATATATTAAGATTTGCTTAAGCTCATTCCTAAGAAACATATTACTTTTGGGCTACCTTCGGATTTGCTTAAGCCAGCTCTCTCTCCCCCTCCATGATTTTCTACAAATAGCTCAAACACTGTATAGTTATCTATATGTATGTACATATTGTATGTTTTTGTGTGTGTGTGTGTGTGTTCCCAAATGCATCTACTAATTCTTAGCATTTTAGATTTAAATCCTCAAATTTGAATCCACATCCAAACTCAAATCCATTGTGAAAATATTAGGTTTTATGTATATATGGTAGTACATATTTTTTTATATACTTTAGGGAATGTTAGGGATTGAGTAATTATTCTAGTTTCCTTTTTCAGTCTTAGGGTTAGTTTGTTATATAAACCAATGTACTCTTGTATTAGAAACACAATTGAATATACAAAAGTCATTTAGAAATCTTACATGGTATCAAAGCTATGTTCAAAACCCTAGCAGCCATTGTCGATTCTTCTCTGGTTCAGCTTTCTAGATTCGTGCGACCCATCTGAGTTCGAATCACAATCCACCGATTGTGGTACTCTTGTTGGTCTGATTCGAGATTGGGTTTGGCTTGTTTGGTCATCTGTTTGAGTCGACCCATTTGGTCATCTAAGTCAACCCATCTATTTGAGTCGACTCGTCTATTTTGTTCAATCGACCCATCTGGTCATCTGATTCGCGACGCTGATTCGTAGGTGGTCTTTGCTACACCGTAACCCTCTTGGGTTCATGGATTGTAAGTCAAGGTTCATGGTTGGTCACTCTCTCACTTTGATTCACTATTGTCTCTCTGGCTCAGCTTAACATCACTAAGATCGTCTTTCTGAACTGGGTTCGGATATTTGACCCATATGAGGTATTATCATCTAGTTCCTTATCTGAGGTGTTATTCACTTGGTAATTTAGTGCTTATTATTCTTTGACCCTAGTGGATATCCCTATTTGCGTATTGGCTCTCCTTTGTTTGGATCATTTTTATTATCCTTGCTAGTTCATTACAATAACAGATGATAAAATGGCTAGGCCCAAAAATAGGCTACTGGCTTCAAATG